TATCTAAAATGCTAAACATTTATTTGTTTAGTTTATAAATCATGATGTCTTAAGATAAAATAGCACTAATAGCCCTACATATGCTCAAAATAACTTGTCCTTTCCTCATTACATGCAAATGTGACCAAATTTACCATTAATTTACCAGTTTGTAGTAGCTGGTAGGTTGAATATGGAAAAGAAAACTGAAATGTAAGTCCTGAATTTTTAAGCTATAGAAAAAATGAACCGTGGTTATATCTCAGAATGCCACCTTATCATTGTCTTGCTTTGTTTTTTTTTGAATAACAAGAATGCCAAGACCCAGACTTTCTTCACAATTGGCCGGATGCTTTTGCCCTTCATGGTAATAATGCTTGCAAAGCTACGAATCCATTCTGGAATGAACTGTCTGCTTCTAACCCATTTTTAGATGACATAACTCAGCTAAGAAAGAACAGGAAGAGAGATAATATTTCCATCTTGAAGGAAGATCCTTTTCTTTTTTTAAGAGAAGTAGAAAATGGAAATTCTTTTGATTCCTCCGGTGATGAACTCGATGTGCGAAAATTACTTAGGCATTCCTCCTCAAGGAAATCTGGAAGATCTAAAAGTGTTTCAGAACTTCTGGACATTTCAGATGACACAGCTCATGCCCCTCAGAGTATACATAACTCTGACCAGATCCTAGAACAAGACTTAGAATGGCTTCAAAATGATAGAGAAGCTTATAAAATGGCTTGGTTAAGTCAACGCCACTTGGCCCGCTCCTGTCTGGATTTGAATACAATTAATCAGAACCCTGGGTGGGCCCAAACACAAGTTGCAGAGGTCACCATAGTTTGTAAATTAAACCACCATGGAGGGTCGATACAATTACCTGAATCAGACATCACTATTCATGTGCCCCAAGGTCATGTAGCTGTGGGAGAATTCCAAGAGGTGTCGCTAAGGGCTTTTCTTGATCCTCCACAAATGCTTAACCATAATCTTTCGTGCACTGTAAGCCCTCTGTTGGAAATCACGTTAGGCAACCTTAATACAATGGAAGCCATTTTGCTGGAGATGAAAATTGGGGCTGAGGTGAAAAAGGATCCTTTCAGCCAAGTCATGACAGAAATGGTGTGTTTATACAGCCTGGACAAAGAAGGCCCTTTCAGAGTGTTAAGCAACTGTTACATTTATAAAGATACCATCCAAGTCAAGCTAATGGATTTGAGTCAGGTGATGTATCTAGTGGTTGCTGCGCAAGCTAAAACTATTCAGTCACCAGCCGCCACCATTTGGGACTATATCCACAAAACCACCTCAATTGGAATTTATGGACCCAAATATATCCATCCCAGTTTCACTGTTATTTTCATAGTTTGTGGACACAGTTATATGCCAGGAAAGCTTACAATCTCTGATATTAAGAAGGGTGGAAAAAACACATCTCCAGTTGTATTTCAGCTCTGGGGGAAGCATTCATTTTTACTTGACAAGCCACAAGATCTAAGTATTTCTGTTTTTTCATGTGACCCTGATTTTGAAGTAAAGGCAGAAGGAGAAAGGAAAGAAATTAAACAAAAACAGCTGGAAGCAGGTGAAATAGTTCATCAACCATTTTTATTTTCTTTGGTTGACCACAGAGAGATGCACTTGTTTGTTTTCCGTGTTCAGGTGGAGCCTCCCCATGGTGAAGCGGTTGCACAGTTCTGTATCACTACACCCGATCCAGCCCCGAACCTAAAAAGGCTCTCACATCTGCCAGGTTATTTGCAGAAGGAGAAGGAAATCAAGTCTGCTCCTTTATTAACAACAGTGCTTGTTAAATATCCCACATTTCAAGATAAAACTTTGAACTTTACCAACTATGGGGTAACCTTGAAGGCAGTACTGAGACAAAGCAAGATTGACTATTTACTTGAATATTTCAAAGGCGACACAATAGCACTTCTTGGAAAAGGTAAGGTCAAAGCCATTGGGCAGTCCAAAGTTAAAGAATGGTATGTGGGAGTCCTCAGAGGTAAGATTGGACTTGTGCATTCCAAAAATATCAAGGTGATTTCAAAGGAACAAGTAATGTCTACGTCAGATAGTGTCTTTACAACCAGAAATCTTCTTGAGCAAATTGCTCTGCCTTTTAAAAAACTAACTTATATCTACTCAGTTGTATTGACCTTGGTGTCAGAAAAAGTTTATGACTGGAAAGTTTTAGCTGATGTCCTGGGTTACTCACATCTGGCACTGGAAGATTTGATTCAAACACAAGCAGACAAAGAATCAGAAAAAGTTTCTGGTGTTGTGAAGAAGTTAAAGGAAGATTGCCACGCAGATAGAAATACAAGAAAGTTTCTTTACGAACTTATTGTGGTGAGTATTGCTTGATCATAGTAATTTATTTACTATAGAAAACTTTATCAATTTGATAATATTTATAACCAAACATATGAGAGAAGAAATTTTTTAAAAATTAGCAATCTCAAATAAATTGGAACCACTTTTCAGCAAATATAGAGATTTTTCCCCTAAGACCATATTTAAGACCACTGGTTTCTTAAATTTGAGATTCAATTGTGATTTTCCCAGAAAATAGGCCCCCAAAGATTATCTCTTCAAGGAGCATTAAAGGTTCTCTTTGTTTTGGGCCTAACAGTTAAGAGATGGCTTTTCTTCCTCTCTCAAATATTTAGACAGCCCTTAGGATCTCAAAGAAGTTCCACAACATGAAAGTAAACAAGAGTAAATTGAAACCAAGCTAACTTGGCCATGGTTTGAGGTCCACTTTTCA